CACCACCACCACAAGGGCTTGTTTTTTAATTTCAAAATGTGAGATCAGAGCATCTTAAATAGATGAAAGGCTCCTTAGAGATTTGGCATAACTTCCTCATTTAAAAAGCAAGACCTGAAAGAGGCAGGGGATTTCCATGAGAACAGAGGAGAGATCAAGGCAGCAGAAGAAGGGGACAGACTGACAGGGTCGAGGGGGATGGGAAAGAGGAGGAACAGTGGGACAAATCTGATCAGACACCCATGACACACATAAATACACCACGGTGAATTTCACCTTGATGTATATCCATAATGCACTAATGTTCTAAGAACTATAAATAAATAGAAAAAAGATCAGCAGAGAAAAAGGGAACAGGAGGGGGAAGAGGGGAGGAAAAAGGGAAGTACTGGAAATTGACTTGGAGCAAATTATACTCCATGCATAATTATGTCAAAACGAACATCAATATTATGCATATCTACAATGAACTAATAAAAAAAGGTAAGGGGCCAGGGATATAGCTCAGTTGGTAGAGTGCTTGTCTTGCATGCACAAAGCCCTGGGCTCAATCTCCAGCAACACACACACACACACACACACACACAGAGTTTAAAAACCCTGTAATCCCAGATGCTCCAGAAGTAAGTTCAAAGCCAGCCTCAACAACTCAGCAAGACCCTGTCTGGAAATGAAAAATGCAGGGGATGTGGCTGCTGTTGAGTGCCCCTAAGTTCAACTCCCGTTACTCCCTCCAAAAATAAATAAAATTTCAGAAAAGGGGGGCTGAGGGTGTAGCTCATGGTAGAAGACGTGCGGAGCAGGCGAGAGGCCCTGGGTTTAGTCCTGGACACTACAAAAAATAATTAGCTAGGAAAATAAAAACTTCAAAAGCAGAAGGTTTATTCGTCTTCTTGATTATGAAAGTAGCCTCAGCTGTGGTGACACTGGAGTTAGGGGGCCAGGATGCGTGTGGGCGTGTGCGTGGGTGTGAACAGGGAGGGGGCCCAAGCCAGGAAATCCCGGCAGGCAATGAGATTTTGAGCCGATAGGCAGGAACTAGGATTCCTTTCTCAAGCCAAGGTAACAAAATTAAATGATCCACAGACAACAGCCGTTTA